CAGGCCAGATGGGCAGAGATACTTGGATGCTTTGACTTTGAAATTGTGTTCTGCCCAGGCGCCGTGAGCCCGCCCACCCCAATTCTCTCTCCCGCAGACCGGAATTGGCCCCAGACAATGCGGACAAGCTTTCATTTGGACAACTTCTCCGACCAGAAAACATTAGACCGGACACTTTCACTGAAATTGCAGAATTCAAAGCTTGTTTCTTCAAAAAATTGATTGACCTGGATGACACTGACTATTGGTTGACATCCTTGGGTGTGTGGAAACCCGCAAACTTGACTCCATTGCAGATTTGTCATGCCCAACCAACCCCTCACCTGTGGACCGGGATCCTTTATTTGTGGGCGGGATCCCTTGAGGGAAGCTAGGCAACTTGACAAGGTGTGTACATCCAATGATCCTATTGGGTTCTCTGTCCCAGAGACTAATAGTACACTAGCACCCCCGCAATGTGAGTTTTTTTTTGTCTTCCCTTGTCCCCCTCTCAGCTGGCCAGCCCTCTGCTCTTTGTGAAATCTGGAAAGATGTGGAAATTGTCAACACGATCCGCAGGCCAGGACTACACCACGCTAATGGACTCCCCCTTGTCACCAGCCTCCCAAAGCTCAAACCCAAAACTTTCAAAATAATCTGTTGAGCACAGGCTCCTAACCAGATTGTGGTACCGCGGGACTCAGCACTGCGCAGGGAAATCATCCACAGCCATCACGACTCCAAACTTGAATGAAACCTTGGAAGCGCCAAGACCCTCAGCCTGGTGCAACACTCTTCTAGCCTTCAATCAAACAACTTGTGAACCGGTATATGGATGGATGTGATTCTTGTCAACAAACCAAACACTGAACGCAGAAACCGCTTGGACTACTTGAACCGCTCCCAATAACTGCTAGACCTTGGACCAACATCAGGTTTTATTTGATCACTTACCTGCCCTCATTAGGTGTATTTGGTAGGATCTTGACAGTCATTGACCGCCTGACCAAGATGGCCCACTTCATACCTTGCAACAAAATGCTCAATGCCAAGGGACTTGCCTGTTTAATTCTTCAGAATATCTGGAAACTGCATGGTACACCAAAAACTATTGTCTCAAAGATGCAGAGTCCACCGG